ATCGAGAAGAAGATGCGACCGCTAAAACAAGCTTTTTGCTCGCCTGACCTTTTGACCTCCATCGCGCATTCTTCATTAGAGACATCAGCAGGACCAGTAGCAAAAAAGCTGCTTATATTAATAACCATATTGAGTAGTGCCACTACATAAGACGTCGTAACACAGATACAATAATGTAGGTGATTAGCAGGCAAACTCAAAGAAGCAGCGTCCAACTTACCATGGTGGCATTTACATTGAGGTCACCTGTGCACTGGAAGGCGGATCCTCATCTTAGAAGAGGCGAGCAGCTGTCAGGTGGCGCATATGTGGCTGATTGTCGACATTCATGGGTGGCTTCTAGCAGGTGTATTAACAGCGCACTCTATGTGATGTGAACTTCTATTGGCGGAACTCTGGGTGAGGAGGGGGATAATGAGGAGCGGCATAATGATGGGATGTAGCCAGCGGCATTTTACCGGAAGTTTATATGCCTGTGCATGTTGCCTAATAGATCCAAGCGATGAGTGAATGTGTGTGGACAGTGCGGACAGTGAAACAGGGTCTCGCGCCTGTATGTCGGGGCCCCAAGAACTGGTGCCCCAGTCGCTGTGCGGTGGATTTGCAAGTGGCTGACCAGGCTGGTGCATGAAGTGAATGTGCAACCTCAGTTAGGAAAGGATGGATCAGTAGATGTTGGGGTTGCAGAGTTGCTGTTGATGGTGGTCATGCCGGGTGAATGGGTGGGGCTGGAGCTGTTGTAAGACGTGCTGGGTGTGTTGAACTCGCGGTGAGTGCCGCTATATGATAGATGCATAAGTGACTAACCAGGCCGGTGCGAGAGGTGGAGGTTTGACTTCATTGAGAACAGATTAGGCTCGAGCCCCCAGTGCTGGTATAGGGGTCACATGTGATGCGTTGCAAGGTGTTGAGAGAGTCGCGGGTGTGGTATCTATTATTGTCGGTTTTGTGGACAGAAAGGGCGTCGCAGTAGGTAGGATGGTGTCGGCGGGTAAGGGCAACAGGGCACTGGGTGGTTGAACTTCCGTGGAGAGGGTGGTCGCCGACGAAATGTTAGACACAGGAGCGACTGTCGAAGTGTTTGACGTCGTAGAAGTGGATGCCGCCGGAGGAAAGGTGCGATGGCAGTGCGAGCATTTTGGAAGGGCTTGAACATTGAAAGCGTTCATCTGTTGGATATGAGACTTGCGAGCCGTCCTTTTCGCCTTGGTGGCGGCGAACCGACTGTCATCGAAGATAGCTCCGCCAGTTTTCAATGTTCTTCTTCAAGTCAATCGGTCTTGCATGAATTCCTCCCAGGTCGCCGTGGTGCTTTGAAGACGCTTCATAAGTGTCCTCGGAGCGCCTCTTTTGACCTCCTTTGCGGCGAGCACCCACAGCGACATCACCGTAAAACAGTCACTTGGGTAGTCGTTGGTCGTCCATCCGTATCAGGTGGCCGTCCTAGCGCAGCATGGCCTCAGCGGTCAGAAGTTTTGTTCTCTCCAATGACTTCCGTATCCGAGATCCTGTTTAGCCATCTCAACTTTAGTATCCGGTGGAAACACCTGAGATGGAAATAGTTAATCTTCCGAACTTGGTTGGCGTATACTGTCTAAGTCCCCGCTGCATACAACAATGTCGTGTGAACGATAGCCTTTAGCGTGGATGTCTTGACGACTCCATATGGATTCTTGAAGGTAGCCGAAGTCTTGGCTGGCTTTGGAGATCCGGCGAACAACCTCGTCGTCGATTCTGGTGTTGGAGAATAGCATGCGGCAAAGATAGGCAAAGTTGTCCACGTTTTTGAGCTCGGTGCCGTTGAAATTAATACGTAGAGCCTTGCAGTCAGCACCGAGCAGCTGTCGATGTATAATCACTGTTTTATCCGTATTGATGGTAAGA